AATACCAAAATAAAGAAAGGACAAAAAGTATGAGTGTAAAATATTACTCCCTCCGTTCTTAATTAGATTACAATTTTTTTCTATTTTCTCTCGATAACTTTTGTTTGTTTACGCGATTTCATTAAGCGTTTGATGAAATAAAATGTTATTATCACTTCTTGTTTTGTAGAACTTTTGACATAGTTTTTTAATATGTAATTTTTATTTTTTTCTCGAAAAATCGATTTGTAAATAAAATGATTCCAAAAAATGAGATATTTCTCCTCGAAAATCCTAATTTGTTATCAAATTTTGAATTTGTTATCAAATTGGGGACGGGAGTATGAAAAAATTATTTAATAAAACACTGTATGTGAAATGAGTTTGAAGTCCAGAAAAATTTGAAATTTGACAGGTCAAGTAATCAATTCAACTAAAAATGCGAGTTTGTGATTGGATACACAGAAAAAGAATTATATATGATAACCAACCCGATCAAACTTAAATTTGTGTTTGTAGGCCTAAGAATAGTGTGATAAATAACAATCACAAATTAATTGCATAAAGACGATAATCGTTTGTGAACACAAATAATTATCATGTGTGTATGAGGTAACCATGGTAAGTTCCTTGCATGATCATTTATAAACTTGAATTTTTGTTCATCTTCCTAACTATTTCAGATTCCTACTAAATTCAAATCTAAATATAATTAACAATCAATATGTACAACATAAAAAAAAGACTGCAAATATTGACAGGAGGAGAACACCTTTGTATTGAAATGGAAGGGAAACTAACGTACGTAGGCCAATCAGTAGCTCTTTTGAACAAATTCTAACCATACATTTTATACGGAGTATTGTTCAATATTTTTTCTTACACTTCATTAAAATCAAAGGGATAATTTTTTTCAAAACATAGAGAATATGATCGAATTTATCAATTACAGAGTAATTAATAATGTGAGAATATAATACTCCGGAGTAGTAATATTTTTTTAGTTCAATATCCATTTCTCCCTTCGTGTATGTTGAAAATAAATACGCGCGAATCAGTAAAGTAAAACCTGGAAAGTTGGGGTTGTTGTTGTTGTTGTTGTTATTATTATTATTATTTTGAAAATAAAAACGTGCAAAATATGGGAGCTGAACAAGAAAGACACACATCACATTTATAATGTTATTCAAATAATGTCCAACACTAGCTTTGTACAACATTTTACACAAATGTCTAAAAGGGGAAAATAATTGTTCGTGCATTCATAATCTTATCCTATATCCTATCCTATATTCCTATATATCCTATATATATCATATATATATATATATATATATATATGTATATGTATGTATGTATGTATGTATGTATGTATGTATGTATGTAAAGGAGAGTTCATCAATTGTAGTGCAGACACGTGGCGTATGACATGGAAATTTTTTTTATCTACATGGCATAGTGTCATCATTTTATTGGTCCACATGGTCTTTATTAGTTTATTTTTTATTTAAAAGATTGTTCATGATTATTTCTTATAATTACCATAAACTTGTATTTATAATACTTTTATATTCTAATTATTATATTAATGTGTCCTTCATCATTTTAAAATATATTTTAATATCTTATAATTAATTAATTACTTTTTAAAGGTTATATAAACTTTATTAAATTTTTTAAAAGACAACTGTTTATATAAATTTTTGCGCCATTTTCCCATGATAAGTGTAATATATATGAAAGTTTAGATTATAAAGAGTAAGATTATTTTAGTGTATAAAAAGTTGTCTAATATTTGTATTAAAAATTCAACCTTTTCCTTTAATATTTTAAATAAATTTTTCTATCAAAATTATAAATTTGATTAGTGAAGTGTAAAATGATAAGGGCCATAGATGAAATTAATAAACACATCTTTCCCACGCATACCATGACATCTCCAAAAAAGAAATGTCTACGTAAGTTATTTAAAAATAATTAATGTATTATCCTTCTTAATCTATAGAACAACTTTAATTGCAATTCACTTTTTTACTCCGTATTTAATCTAGGTTTATATTTTAATATAATAACAATTTTATAGATATATTTTATAGAAAAATATGCGAGCCCGTGCGAAGCACGGGATAAAAACTAGTTCATACGTAATTGACAAATCTTCAAATTGTACGGAGGTGTACTCATTATTCACAAAATAGTTCATCTCTATTTTTAAAAAAAATTATTTCTTCATTTTTATATGCATAAAACATTATTAATTTTATTTATTTGTTTATAGAAAAGAGAACATTAAAATTATACTACTCCGTATGGACATAAACACCATGCCCCATAAATTGCAGTAAGTAGTAATTAAGGAGTTGAATTCAATGAAGAGCTAGCGCAAGTCTAACTTACGGAGTACTAAAAACCACAAAACACAATAAAACCAAACAGTCTTAACACAAACCAAACAACCTTGATCCTTAACGTGTCTGTTTGGGAACAGCGTTAGCGTTTTGAAAAAACTATCTACGGGCAGCGTTTAGCGTTAGCGTTTTCAAAGTGATCTGCACCGTGAAAATTTTATCCAAAACGCTAACGCTAATCTCTAACGTTATTCCCAAACAGGCCCAACATAAACCAAACAGCCTTAACTTAGTAATTGCATTACGACTACACAACACGTCCAAACTTAATAATAATAATAATAACAACAACAACAACAACAATGAAGTGCATACTAATTGGCCGCCGGCTTTATTAAGTAACAAAGGGTTTGTCCGCAGGTTCGACCAAATGTACCCGCGCTCGGCCGGTCAAAGTATCAGTCCAGAAAGGCGCTCTCGAAAGACTTGGATTTCGGGTCGGCAAGCATGGGTCCCTTATACCCGAAGCCCGAAGCCAAGCTATGCTAGAATATGGAAGTGAGTATGTATCCATTCCTCGCACTCGCCAGGGGCAATGCTGCAATTGTTTGCCGCCTAAAATCATGGAGCAACGCCATCTCTCTCAGAGTCACGACCTCACGATACTTGATCCAGTCGTGCAAATCCCCTGAAAACGTGTTTTTCACCTGAAACAAATCGAGCGCCGGGTTCACAATGAAGAGCGGCAACTCGATGCAGCGCACCAGGTTTTGAGGAAAGAAACACGTCCTCGCACTGTTTTTGAAATTGCACCGGGTGGGTAGCGTAGCGTAGCGTCCGGGTGTTGCATCCCCACCAAGGTGCCAAAAACAGTGGTATTCATCTTTATTTTTCGATGTGAGAACTCCAAAAGAACTTTTGTAGTTGCTTAGTTGGTGTGTGGTGTTTAAAGTGGATGTAATAGGTAGTCTAAGGCTTGTTCATATTTGGACTCTTATTTACATTTGAGATGAGGTGGTGAATATATTTGCATTTGGTTAAAAGAAAAACAATGCCAGAAACATAACATAAATTTATGGCGTTATTTGGTTACTTCTCTCTTAATATAAATGCATCTTTAATACTACTACATATAAGTAACAAGTGTGCAAAATTTTATCAAAACGTTATGCCAAACTAGACCTGGCAAAAAATGACTCGCCTTGTTTTTTACCCGAAACCCGACCTGAAAACACTGGGTTTTGAACAAAGGTTTTGATAACCGAATCCGAAGTTGACCGAACCCGAAATGACCCGCTAAAAATGGGTCAAACCCGATCGAACCCGAACCCGACTTGACCGACCTGCTAAAGTAAGAAGTTTTTAAAATCATACACTTTACTACTCATTTTTAGTTATAAATTTATATTTTCAGACAAGATTTTAATGATATTGCATAATTATCTTATTTTTTCCCAAAACTTAAGCATTTTTTAAATTCCTTATACTCATTTATATATTTAAAAATTATTTCAAAATTTAAAATAAAATAATTTAATATATTTAATACATTTATTTGTATTTATTTAATAAAAAATATAAGTGTTGATGTCAATTTAAAAATTTTAAAAATTAAAGTCATAACCCGTTGGCTCGACCCGAACCCGATGACACTCGGTCATGAACCTGCATTTCTCAACCCGAACCTGAAATAACCCGAACTCGAAGTGACGGAACCCGAACCCGACCTGACCGATCGATTTGCCAGCTCTATGCCAAACCTATGATGATGTGTGCATATATAAACCAATGCAATTGTGCATGGAGCATTTTTCACAAAGAAAAATCGAATCGTTCGATCGGGAAAAAGAAGCTCTTTCTTCAATCATAGACAGTTGCAAACTAAGGTTGTTAATTATTGTTTTGGTTACTAGTATATAAATTCGTTTATTGAGGATTCATTGTATTGCTAAATATCTAGGGATAGACCCCGGGGTCAAGCGACTCCACAGAAATTTTAAATTTTTTTACCTATATATAAATTTTTAGGTGTATACGTATAATTAGTACTCCCTCCGTCACTAAATAAACTTCTATTTTTGACTTTTTGAAAATTTAAGGGAGGAATATTTTTATGTCGACTTTCCAAAAATACCCTTGATGTGATGTGTAAAAGTAAAATATAATAGGTAGATTATTAGTAAAAAGACATGATGTGATAGGTAAGATATGAAAAAGTAAAGGGTACAAGAGGTTTTTTAAGGAAAAAGAGAAGTTTACTTGGAGACAAAGAAAAAACAAAAAGAAAAGTTTATGTAGAGACCAAGAGAATATATAAGTTACAAAACGTTACATAGAACAACTTGGTCATGTTGAAGGAGTGGAAAACTGTCTGGACTGTCCTATGTTCAATCTCTAGATTTTTTCTTGACATAATTTAATATGTTAGAATAATTAAATTATTTTTTAAGTTTATAATACTTTTTAATTATTTAAATTTCAATATAGGATGCAAAGGTATTTTAAAAAAGCACCAATATTTTAAAAAGGAACCAAATTTGTAATTTCTATAACATATGTAATTAAATTAACTTTAATGTTATATATTATGGAGTACTATTACTTAATCTTAGAAGCGAGACAATTGGATAAAAATTTTCTAAGATGTGGTCCCATGGTTAAAATATTTTGGGTCCACCCCGGCACATATCTATATTTTTTTAAATTCAAGTACTCCATAAGTTCGTATATTATTTTAGTTCCTACAAGACCCATATACTTGCTAAAGAATTATTATTTTTTAGATCAAGTGTATAGTTTGAGTAACACGCAAAAATTTTGCTCAAAGATTTATGATATACTCCGTAATTAATATCAACTCTCACAATCCTTTATATATAATATTTGAGAGTTGAAGACTTGAATGTTTTTTGACACCTAATCAGCCATGTCATCAAGAGAATTGAATCGAACTTTCCTTCGACTAATTTATGATATAATAAAAGAAATTATGTAACTTAATAAAACTATTGAAACATAAATATATTATTGCATAAAATAAAAATTATTAATGGAAAAAAAAGTTTCTTTTTTAACTAACAAAATTTTCAGTAAAATTTTGACCATAATATTTTGCTAGGACTCCAATTAAGCTTAACACGGAGTAATATTTGGCTACGCGTTGGACTCTTAAATTTATACGGAGTAACAATCATAGCACAACACCAAATTATATTTCTATGGATTTAGCATTGAGACAAATTGTCGAACGCTTTGAGGGCTTACCTTCATGTCAATGAAGTCAGAAAAATCTGCACCCATATTAGCAGTCAGCCTTCAGCCCTAGGCTGGCAATTCTCCGGCCATTTTAGGGAACAAATATTTTTGTAAAAATCGAATCTTACTGAGTGGGAAAATAGTCGAGAAATATAGAAAGGAATGACTTAGAGTTCTATGAAATGTAACTTTTCTATTTTTCTTTGAATGCTTAAGATCGTTTGCTGGGTAGTTGGGTTGAGCATTAAAAATTACATCCAAGCAAAAAACAAAAAGAAAAATGCTAGAGTTACACCAAAAAGGCCGGCCCCGAAAAACGAAAAAATAAAATTGGCCCTGTCCGAAATTTATATTGTGCCCTATTTTATATTTTTAGAATACTTATGCTTTAAAATTATTAACAAATTTAAAATAAATTTGTTAAGGTGCCCTAAGCGGTTGGCCACTTTGCACACCTTCCTTCCGGGCCACCCATGTACCAAATGTGTATCCCATTTGTCCGCCACCCCCTACTTATCCACAAAAAAGCAAGAAATTTAAAAAAAAGAATAAATAAAAATAGAATATAAATGGGTAATGGAGAAAGGGTGGTGTACATTTGGGGTACACATTTGTTGTCATTGCTCAAACAAAAAATGCACCACATGGAGTAATAGTTCTATGAATTCCTATGTCACAACAGTAATAGCTTTCAATTAGGGTTTGAAATCGAGGCTATGAAACACAGAGTCAGAAAAACGCACCTAAGGCAGTCAATTTCCCCAAGCGAATCTTTACTCATGGCTGCCGGTTGGGTGGTCGCTGGTAGGTTCTCCTCCGACGCTCTCTCGGTTCTACCTCCTTCTCTGCTAGCGACTATTTCACCCTAGGGCGACGTTGGTCCTGCCAAGGCCAACCAGCCGCGTTGTTTGTGCGATGGAGACAAGTGGGTTGGAGGTTTGGGAGAAGTTTTCCGCAGGAATCGTCGGGTGGTTTTGGAGTGGAAGTCTCGCCTGCTGTACTTTTGATCTGAAATGAATGGTTTGGATCTGTCTATTTTTTACAAAATTGAAATTGGGCCTTTGATTATTACTTGTGGTCAGGATTTGTGCAGTCTTTTTATAAGCAAAATTGGGCCGTTGATTAGTGACTTTGGCAGGAAAATTGGATACGGAGTACTCCTTCCGTCTCACTGTATTGGCGTTGGTGTCCGCCGTCAATTTTGCCGGAGGTGGCCGGAAAAAGCTCCGAGCCGCCGGCGGTTTCCGGGCGACCTCCAAGGACCCCTCAATTACAAGATTTGATGAAGATTTGCAAAACCCCCAATTTTGGATTCAATTTCGAATTTTAGGGTTTTTTCGAGTAGAAAAATTCAGATTTGAGAAGTTACAGGCAAAATTAGACAAAATGGTTTGGATATTATTGATCCTCGTCTTAAGACGAAGAGAATGACGTTGGTCCCGCCGGAATCGGAAAAAGTTCATTTTCCGGCGATTTTGACCGGCGGGCGGCGGCGGCGGGGCGTGGAAGAAAAGAAAAGAAGAAATGGGGTCAAATTGAAAATTTTAAAATATATAGAATTCGAATTTGGCCCTAATGACCAGAAGTTAACCTAGAAACGCGCTAATGGCTCATTAGTGAAAGGATTGTGTAAGTTCAGGAATTTTTGTGGAAGGATTTGAAATTGAGGTACTACTTCGAAATTCCATCTAAAGTTCAGGTATCATTTGTGAAATTCACCCTTGATTAGTGACTTTGGCAGGAAAATTGGATACGGAGTACTCCCTCTGTCTCACTGTATTTGTCCACTTACTTTTTAGGACACCATCCAATGCACTTCTTTAATCCATTTTATCTTATAATTTGTATATTAAAAAATTATAAAAATTATATAATAATAATCTATATGTTAAGATAAATCAAATAAGATCACACATGACTATTTTTAGGCTTACACATTAAGAGAATTTGATGAGTCAAAGTGCTTAGATGAACAATTCCAAAAGTCAAATGTGGACAAAGACAATGGGACGGAGGTAAATAATTTAATAGTAAAAGTTTTTTTTAAACATGGGGTTAGTCTGTTAGAGTACCTTACATAAAAAAAGAAATTAATAGATTTATAAGCTTATGATTTGAACTAGTAATTGATTAAATTTAATTATTAATATGATTCAATCTAATTGTCATTCCTAGAAGGTCTAGGGTTTAATCCAATTGTATGTGTGGAATGCATACCCTACGTCATGCGGGCCGATTAAGTTCATATCTAGTGGCGTGATACTTTAGGCATGGTGCTCAAAAGAAATAATATGGAGTAATCACTATTTATTCATTTCAAGGGATGAAAATACATACATTTGCAAGCAGTAACTCAATTAGATCAAAATGACCTGATTGTCTATACGAGGAGGGGTGTTATGGTATCTCACATCAAAAAAATAAATACTCCTTACATTTAATAAAACCCTTATTATTTCGTTTTTTTCACTTTCCTAAAACACTTCCATTTTCTATTAAAAAACCACTTTTACTACTACTTTTTCATATCATACATATCACATCATACTTTTTCACTAATAACCAAACTATCACATCTTACTTTTACTCATTACATCAAGGGCAATATTGGAAAGTTAACCAAAATTATACTTTCCTTATTTTGGCCTAATTAATGTCAAAATGGGAAAGGTTTAAAAGAACGTAAGAAGTAATAAAATAAAGGGTCTATAAGTTTTTGAGTTGAAGTTGTTGAGTTGAATTGGAATTCAATTAGATTCAATTTTTTTATATGGTTAACACATGTGTCTTATCGCCAACCCTAATGATCTCTATCAAACTATAAATTCCGTAACATGGTCATTTTGAACCAAATTTAGTGTAAAATATAAGTACTATAGAGCACCATGTGTAAAATATAAGTACTATAGGGAACCATATTAAATTTTTTAATATGGTTAACACATGTGTCTTATCGCCAACCCTAAGTATTTTGGTCATTTTGTCATTTCTGAATTCGAAGGCTGCTGCTTGAATAATAATAATAATAATAATAATAATATAATACTAGTATAATTATTATTATTAATTTAATTCTTATTACCATTGTAGTAGAAATTTTTGATATCAATATTTATATTATCTTTTCTATGAGAATAGGAAAAGTGGTCTTCATAGCAAGACCATGATGATGGTATTGGTGAATTTATTTATTTTTAATTTAATTTTATTTGGTGGAGTATCAAGTGAGTGTGATCCAAATTATTGCAAGTGCTATAGTTTATGCAATATGGTGAATGCTGCACAATTTGGAGGCATGCATTGATGATCATATAGATTTAGTAGGACATTGTTCTTGGTATTGTGATGACATATTGAAAACTGATACTAATATATTGTGCCCATGTTTGCCTGAGGACCATTATTGCCCAAAAACAGAAATAATAGCATATACCAAAGTTCTATAGTAAATAAATATATGATTGCACATCGAATTCAATGTATTATTTGAATGGAAGCAACAAGGACACAATAATATTTTTTTATTTTCATTTATATTTTATTTATCTAGGACAATGTGTCAATAGAATAATTTCGTATTTATTATCGAATGATAATGGACTATGATTAATTCCTCTTTGAAGGATATGATGTTTCTCGTTTGTAATTTAAAATTTATTTTAAAATTAAAATTGAATAGACTTTGCATGTCATCGTATATAAATAAGTCATAAATGGCGGGAAAATTGTTTTCCCTTTTTTACATCTTGTGACAAATGTTGCATATCGCCCGTTGTTGGAGTACTTCTTAGTAAATGCTTACTTACTTTGGTAACAAACGGTCATAACAAGTTAAAGTAATTAAATCTAATAATAACAAAATAAGTTATGAGAAAACATAATTAAAATGTTATCAAAATATCAATATAAAAACAACATTGATCATTTTTATGAAATATTTGTATTAAATAGCACTAAACTTAAGTTATTTTCGTAAATAGCACCTGAACTGTTTTCTTCTTTAAATAACAATTAATAATGTCCAGTGATGACAAATATTTACTTGAATAATTCTAAACAAAGCTACCGAGTGGATTCTGTATGAAACATTCACGTGCAATTGATGGGGAAACATTGTTTTTTTAAGGATATGTTCCATTTATGCCAAGCTAGCTATGACAATGATGATGGCTGTTTTTTGGTTTGGGGGGGGGGGGTGAATTTTATATTACAAACTTGTTTTATAGCTTATTGATGACTACTAGCACAGTTTGCTACTTTTATAAGGCCTTAGGTAAATATGCATCAAATTAACTTTATTAGAAAAAAGAACAGAAAATTGTGTCTGGGTATGCCCTATTCAAAAAACTAATTACAGGATACTTCATATTTTTTAAAATATACTCTGAAATACCGAAAAAGATTTCAGCTCAATCTTCAGTTCGAATTATTTATAATTTTGAATTTTGGTCCAACCTGACCATTACACGATTATTAATTAAGACCGATAGACCGAGCACCTAGTCTATCTATCGGCCCAGTCATAACCACTCAAATACTCAACTCTACCCGCGGGGCCGACCCATTAAGGGGACAAGCAGTACGACCGGGCCAGGCCCAACAATTTAAGGGGCCTAATTTTCTTTAAATATATTACTCCGTATATATATTGAAGCCCCAGCCAAGCTAGCCCTCCTATTTTTGTTCCACATCAGGAAGCGGAAGTCGCCAAACGCCCAAACCCACGAAGGCACGGACGGAAATTGAAAAAGACGCCAGAAGGAAGTCGCCGAGAGAGAGTCGCCGCCGATACCCAGACGCCGCCGCCCGCCTGCACGCTCCACTGCTCCACAGTCTAGCCGCTTCTCGCCAGACGCCGCCTCGACGGAAACTCTCCAGCCTCCAGGTCCAGGATTCCAGGTGCGGAGGTAAGAAATATACCAATTTCAGTATTTCTTTAAGAATTTTACAATTTGTTATTTGAAAATCTGAAAATATTTAATCTTTATAAATTTGTGTTATGAATTTGTTATGATTTTTTGTTGGGAATTTGACAATTTATTATATGAATTTGTCATGTGAAAAATTGAAAATCTTTATTTGAAATTTTTGCTAATTGTTATGAATTTGTTGTGAAAATTAATTTAATAATCCGTAGATTTTTTTCCGGAAATTTAAAGTTTGTATTTGTGTATTTGATTTCACTAAGATGTGAGCAATCAATTTGCTCTAAAAAATGCAAGGAGAAATTTATGAATTCTCGGCTAGCTTTTACAGTACGTAATTATACTACTATGAGTTTGTCATTTACTTATTTTCTTTTAATACTATTGGGTTAATTGTCATTTAAATATATTTAGTTTACATATTTTAATTGTTTAGACCAAGAGGAAACTAGAGATAAGACTTCTAAGGTCTTTTTTTCCTGCAATTGCATAATTTCATGGTTATCAGATCTTCCCCAGATTGTCGTGGTTATCATATCATCAAATTGCATAATTACAGGCCTGGTTCCTGCAATTATCTGAATGTTTCACGTTTAAGAAACAATTATTTATAAATAGCAATTAATTACATATTATGAATCATTCATTTTTTTCTTTCCAATTTTAAAAATTTAACGAGGCTACTTAGTTGTTGTGTAGTAGATGGTGAGTTGATACACTAATTTTAGCATCTCCGCTCCCAGACATTTCTAATGTTTCAGTACTAGTTGATTTGATTTTTCAAAATTTAAATTAGTATTTTCATATTCTCAAATCACCATAATCCGGTATTATTTGGGGCTGACTAATCATGCAATTGTGTTTTATTTCCAGTTTATTAGGTACAACTCAAGATTTTGGTACACCATTTTGCTGCTAATTAGTAATCAATCCGAACGTCATTCTTGAGGTATTTTAAATTGAATCCATCAATTTTATAATCTATTATCTTTTAATCCAAAAATAAAATTATGTTTGAACTTAGTAGTCATAGTTTTAGAATTCAATTTGGGACATTGGGAGTTTTAATTTGTGAAATAATGAAGTAAAATGATTCAAAATGGCTTTCAATTACCACATGTTCAATCACTTAGGCAGTAGTGTTTTCATATAAGTTGATTTTATATATTTTAAGCCTTTTTTTGGTTATGAGAACTCTTGTTTGATTATGTCCATTGGTGGGATTAAGTTTTTTTTTAAATAAAATTTATAGGTAATACTTAGGAATTGTGACGTAGGTAGCTTTAATTTATCCCTAGAAAAATAAGTTTACATATCAAATTGAGACGTTGGGAGTTTAGTTTAGGCCCAAAGTGTTTCATAAAAAAAATCTCCATTGCTAGAACATTACCCAGCATTTATAAGGATTGACCATTATTATTTTTCATACATTAATTTAGCTATCGAGTTGTTTTCATTGTCTCAAACTTTTTTGGGTTCGTTTAGGCAAGTGTTTTCATTGAAGTTAATTTTTTAAATGTTGTGTTTTCAAATCTTGGTTAGTTTTATCCATTACTATCAATAAATATGATTGTTTTTAAAAGTAATTGTAGTTATTTTTTTCCATCATCTCCGATGGAGCCAAAATTTCACCATTTTTTGGATTTGGGGTGTGATGGAATAAATCAAAACATATACACATTTTATTTGCAAAAAAAAGTCCCGAGAAAGTGGTAGCAGGAGCAGCAGAGATTGAAGACTTGAAGAATGCATATTTCCCCTGGGAAACAAAAGCCAAAGCCAACCTGGACGGCTTTCATATATATGTACACAATGAGAGTATTACTTGAGTGTGGGGGGGGGGGGGGTACTGGACTTGGAGGGCTTCCTGCAGTATGAAAGATTCAAAACCAGTTTTCATGTCGTGCAAGAAGCCTCCGCTGCTGCCGAGGGGTGATGTGGCATGGGGTTCTTCTGCCTCCTCCACGGTGGCGGAGTTCTTGCTGGCATTGAGCTGGGGTGATTATGATTCCTCTGCAATGGCTTCATGAAAATCACCTCATTAGACAATATGGTCTGGACTTGGAAGTAAAGAGACTGTTTCTTCCCAGAGCGAAAGAAAAAATGGGGAAAAAAAGAGAAATGCTTGGTGAACACCACTTGGGGTACACCATATGCACACCAAGCCAAAAATAGGCACACACAGACACTTAAGTTTTCCATGGAAGAACAAGTTTAGAAATCAAATTGGGATGTAAGGAGTTTTAATTTAGGTCGAAGTGTTTCATAAGAATGAAATGATTTCATTTAGGCTGATATGCTTTCATTCAAATGGTTTTTAAATTTTTTTAGTCTTTTTTGGCGGACCTTAAGTATCTCCAATGCTTGAATATTACTACTCACCATTAATGAAAAATGTTACTCAGCAGTCACAAGAATTGTTCATTAACATTCTTCAAACTCTAATGCAGCTACTCTTTTTCATTGTTTCAAACATTTTTAGGTCGGTTATAGTTTATCAAATGAAATGTTTTTATTTAGGCAGTTTTTTTTATTCATTTTAGTTGATTTAAAAATATATAGTGTTTGTAAATCTTGGCTAATTTATCCAGTACTGGCAGTAAATATGTTTTTAAAAACCAATTATTGGTATAACTCAGGAATTTCAGACCTAGGAAGTCTTAATTTGTGAAGTGATAAACAAAAAAGATTTAAAATGGCTTTTATTTGCCACGTGCTCCATTGTCATGTTTCTTTACTTTTTAAACACTTTTTTTACCATATATCTTGATTTTTCTGTGTCCATTACTTGCCGTAAATATTGTCTTTTAAATGAAGAGAATTCGGACTCCCTATAACAATGAGTCTAGAACCATGTTAACAAATACAGTTATATTTGTAGTAATATACGGAGTAGTTTAAACTCAAATTGTAATTGGAGAGTTAAATAGAGAATCTCTAATAAACTCCTCAATCAAAGGTAGCTTATTGGGAAAGCTTTTTTCCCAAAAAAGAGCAAATAAGTAGCTCTAATGATTCTAAACAAAGCTGCCCAGTGGCTTCTGTATGAAACATTCACGTGCAATTGATGGGGAAAAAGTGTTTTTTAAGGATATGTTTCATTTATGCTATTGAAAAACCTATGACAATGATGGTGATGGCTGTTTTTTTGGTTGGGGGGCATGAATTAATATTACAAACTTGTTTTATAGCTTATTGAGGACTACTAGCACAGTTTGCTACTTTTCTAAGGCCTTAGGTAAATATGCATCATATTAACTTTATTAGAAAAAAGAGCAGAAAACTGTGCCTGGGTATGCCCTATTTTGAAAAACTAACTACCGGATACCTCATATTTTTAAAATATACTTTGGGGTATCCTCGATTTTGAAATATTTAACTGTTGGGTAACACACATGTCTAAAATATACTTTGAGGTACCTCCAAATGTATATTAACTTACCCGTGAGGACTGAGGATCATTCTGTTTCATTCAAAAATTTCAATTAAACCGGATAGATTGTATTCCTAAAGTATAAGAACCAAAGTTATTTTTGGAATTCCAAACATTCTTTGCTTATTTTTACTACTCATTTTTTAAAATGATATAGTCTTGTCACCTCAGTTTTGTAGAACTTTCCATGTAGTTTATTACTATATAAATTTTACATTAAAATTTTACCCCTATATTCAAATAAATTAAATTGAAAATAAAGTCGGTCAAGCCTCGTAATGCGCAATGGGAAGATCTTAGGTGGGCGGAGGAAGTATTTCTTAAAATTATTGGCGTAAGTGGCTTTGACGGAGTGTGAGATGGAACGTCACTCACGGGTAAGTTAATGTATATTTGGAGGTACCCCGGAGTATATTTTTAAAATGCGAGGTACCCGTCAGTTTCTCAAGATAGAGGGTACATCGGAGTATATTTTAAAAATGTAAGTTGACCTACATTTAGTTTCTCAAAAAAGGGGTACTCAGGTGGACTTTTCTGAAAATAGAGAAGTAAAACACTTTTATTGAGGATATCCTAAAGACAAACTAAAACAATCGGGCACTTTGGGGGATAATCTCTTTAGGGAAGTCATAGGTTCTCTTCTTTTCCTCTCAGCAACAAAACCGTTCAGCCCAAAACCGTTCTCTATAAGCATTCTCAGCCCCTCTTCTTCAACAAAACCGTTCTCCATTAGCAACCAAACCTCCTCCGTTCTCCATAAGCCCCTCCTCCGTTCTTCCTCTTAGCCCCTCCTCCATTCTTCCTCTCAGCCCCTCCTCATCACTGAACTACTTTCTATTCTTCACTCTAGCGGCTCTGCCTCCCTTCTTCTCCATTGTTACTCCATTTGAATTGAATTGCTCCAGACAACAACGATCCGTGCATCCGAGTTTGATCTATAACGGGCGGTGATGAACTCTGAACTTTAGATATGACAGTTTTGTACTAATATGCTGTTTTGTTTACAGATCTAAATATGGGATTACTTTGTGAGTTTGGGTTCGGTTTGTGTTTGACGTTTTCAATACGTGTTTGGATCTGTTGTTCCTATAGGTCGAATTTGACACTTAATGTGTCTTTTTATACTAAATCTGCATTCACTTACAATTTTAAGCTCAAATCTGCTTGAGATCGGCCAGAGTTGGATGCTTAGTTGTTTGTTTAATAGTACATTAACATGAGTGGGTAATTTGCATAGCTTTGGGTTGGTTTATGAGATTTTGAAGTATGAAATTGGTAGCAACTTGTTTGGTTTAAGAAACTGTGTGTTTGGATGTGCTTGTATCCTATTTGGAATATATCCTTGTGCCAAAAAGTAGGTTAAGAAACTGTGTGTTTGGATGAGTATTGCTTCCTCGCTAACATTTAATCTTTTTTAATGAAGGTTTATTATGGGATTGAATTTAACTTCGATTTCAATTTGTCTGTTTACTATCATGACCATTTTTTTTTTGCTGAAAGTTTCCATCTTTTGTTTTGCGTTTTGTTATAGGGATGACGCAACGCCCCTTCATGATAGAAAATGGCGTTGGTGATAATGAAAAAAAAAGACGAGTACTTCAGGTATCCATCCCATGCTTTTTCCTATCAGGGGCAAAACAAATACGGGGTAACATAGTCAATTCACATTAACCTTTTAAACGTGCCGAATTGAAAACAATTCCCATTTTTTAAAACTGAGGGCGTATCTTTTCATACACATAAAATATGTTGTATGGGATGGAGTGTCAAGCAGCAAAGCAAAGGGTGAACATGAATAATAATAAATAAATAGAAAAGGGCGTGATTTGATCCATGTTGCCGACCCCACTTATTGGGATTAGTCTTGTTTGTTTTCAAAGAAATAATAATTTTGTTTGTATGTACACTAGCGTTTCATCCTCTATATATATGTGTGTCAGGATGTGGAGTCGACAGTTGGGGGTGACATGAGTCAACTTCCAGATGAAATTCTTGAGTACATTCTGAATAAATTGATGCTTAGGGATGCAGTTAGAGCAAGTTTGGTATCATCTAGATGGAGGCATCATGTTCTGTCCCGACCTTGCCTTATTTTCAAAACATGTAGCATGTTCAAAATTGAGGGAGCCTCAGAAGAGAAATGTGTTTGTTCAGAATACAAAGATCGATTTGTACGAGCTGTATATGACTTCCTTGCTTCATATAAAGGCGTGCGAATGAAAAAGTTGTCTGTTCATTTCTGCCTGAAGACTGTTTCCAAGAACGTCGTCTCAGACTGGATGAGTTTAGCTTGTGGTTTAGGTGTGGAAGATGTTGTGTTTGAATTATATTGTGAAAATTTGGAATCCAAAGTGCGATCGCGTAGTACTCGGCTTCTGGAGATTTTCCCAAGTCAACAACCGATTGTTTTAAAGTATCTAAGACTATCTGGCTGTGATGCTTTTGCAGTCAGTCTGTTCACCCGGCTAGAGACCCTCAACCTTTATTACACGTCTTTGGATTCTCATGTTATGGAGAGTGTGCTCTCATCGGGTTTAGTAAATCTTAAGACGTTAAGATTTCAACACTCCAAATTGCCTCCCTATTTAATCCTTAACTCACTCCCCAACCTACAATATTTAGTGGCTTTTTTTTGCTCTGGATTGGAAAAAATTGACGTGGCTAGTCTTAAGCTCAAAAAGTTGAATGTTCAGTGCAATAGGACTGTTTCAGTGGGGCTCACGCGGGTTCCCAACTTGATACTATTGAGTTACTTGGTGCATGATGGTCCCAGCATATGCCACATTTTTTCCAAGCTCCCACAAATTCTTCCTTATTTGGAAATTTTGCATGTGGCCTCTAGTTGCAACTGGGTAAAGATCAAATGCCTTTTTTTGTTTTTGTTTGCTTTTTGTTATATACTACTGCTAACTATCACTACCATGTGTATATGTTTTCCTTTTGCAGGTTGAGTACATGCCAGAAAGCGTAGCTACATTCTCCAAACTTAGGAAACTAAAACTGCCAATGGCCTCCAAAGTGGAAGATATCATGTTTAAGATTGTCCAGTTTCTGAAATCTTGCCCTATACTCTCTAAACTGACCATTAGGGTGAGTGATTCATCCCATTTTTTGATCTTCTCTCCCACTTAAGTTAAACAAATAATTCACACCCGTGGAATGTACAAAAATTAATGACGACTGTGATTTTTTGCATGCAGTTTAAATCGAGCTCACGAGAGGACAAGGAACATGAGAAGCTGGAGTGCATTGATGATGATTACCATCATAAGGAACATGAGAAGTTGGAGTGCATGGATGATGATTACCATCATAAACATTTGGAGTCGATTGAAATCCATGGATTTGCATGCACCAAAAATCAGATCGAGTTTTGCAAGTATTTACTGAAACTTGCCCCTTGCATGAAGAAGTTAATATTACCACATTGTCCACAAGAGTGCAAACATCAAGTGAGTGAAGAAGAGCGTGAATCTATAATAAATGCATTGAAACCATTTTTAAAGGGTGTGAAACTGCTTGTCTTTTAATTTGAGGAAATAAACAACTCGTATGTCTTCCTTTCTTAAGCGGGATGGTTCTGATCTGGGATGGAGGAACTTTTTTTGTGTGGAAACAGAACACACTTCTATATTATTTACATTCAACCATGTTCTCTACTCACTATGTACTAAATTTGTGACAATTCTATAAAGAAATTTTATTTACCATTTCAAGAAAATCTCATTTACCGTTTCAAGAACTCTATCTTTGAAAAAATTATAGTTTTTCATATGTTGCCCTACCCTACTATACTCTTACTCTTGAGAAGTGAATTTGAGTTAAAGATCAAGGGTTTTGAGTGAGATGAATGGAATGGAAGATAGGTATGAGCAGGAGGAGAAATAAATTCCCAAAACAACTTTGCCTAAGCCTTGAGTATTTATTTGGAAAGGTAAAATTCTCTAATTTAGTTTTTGATTTATTTGGATTTTTTTAAGTCTCTTTACTGCAACATTTTTTATTTTACTAGTATTTTGATGAATGAGTTCGAAAGAAATTTTTGTCCATTCAAAAAATGTTTTTCAATGTAATATTTATAGTTCAAAGAAAATTTATTTCTAACAAGATTTTTTTAACCCGAGACCATCGGGTGTGCACAACACCCCACATGGCCTAATTCCTAACCAAATTAATTGGTGATCCAATCAATCAATTCAATTCAGGCCCGCTTGATTATACTAGATGACCTATTTCAGATATTAATCATAATTCGTAATTATCAATGATAAGATTAATTTAATTCAAGTCACAATTTAATAATTATCAAGCATATCAAAAAGTGGCATATTGGGGACCGGAAGCCCACCAATTACCATCATGCATAGCCAATCAATCCAGAAAATGACTTATGTTTTAGTTCTATTCCATGCAAATTTCACTAAAAATTAAAACATGAAGTGTTTTTAGAAATGGAAGAAATATGAAATTTGATTTTAAAATTAAAATAAAATAGAGTTTGTTCTCATTTATGGAATACAAAATATAAATTATTTCAAATGTAGGACTTAAACTTTTTTATTCCCTAAATTTGACTTTAATAATAACTAGTGAGAAGAATAATGTCTAAGTAATGCTGGACATTTAGTTGAATAATGACTAATAGATAATGATTAATGGTCCTACATTAGAAAATAAAAATATATGGTCTTATATTGAGAAAGTCATTATGTTTTAGCTATTTAGGTAAATTAATCTAAACTTTTAGCCAATCAGTAACACTCTTTATTAATAAAAAAAGCAAACACAATATAAATAGATACGTAGTACATGTTATTCCGTATAAAAATTTGAGATATCAAAACTATTTATATATTCTAAGATGACCCAATTATATTAATATATTGCTTCATACAAATCAGTATACTTTTCTTATAGTTTGTGATCAAAGAGTGTTATTGTTTCATCCGTAAAAATCAAAACAGAAAGAGTTTTTAAAACAGGAATAAGAATTAAGCATATCCTGGTGTTGACACATTAACGAGTAAATGCAGGTTATTAAATTCACCTTGGTTCCTATGACATTGGTTGGGAACCAATGTCATGGGATGACTTAGAGGTGCTCCGGTGTCCCGTTCGTAAAATTGACGGTTCCTATCCCTCTAACCTCCTCGGTAAACCCCCCACCCCGTCCCGATCTGAACATGCCCCTCACCCCCTTCAATTGCACCCCACAAGTTAATTTAGTCTTATATAATGCAAATGTTTCTTTAATATTAAACTCAATCCATAAGTTATACTCCATATTTCCGTTACTTGAGCATGCAAAATTTTATCAAACGTTATACCAAATTCCACCTATTAACGAATGCTTGTGTCTATTTATATATAATACGGGGTAATAGAATTTTGCAGGGAAGAATATTATAATTAATTCGAAGGTCACACTACTTTCAGAAAAAAACAAGCTATTTTTTTATCAACCATAGACGGTTATAAATAATTAAGGTTGCCTATAATTATATGAGTTAGGTTTTATGTTTAATTTGGTGTTACGGACTTGCCTATAAGTCACGATCGAACTCTTCTAGTGAAATTTACACTAAATAGATCTAAACATAATGACTTTCTAAATGTAGGACTTAAACTTTTTTATTCTTTAAATAGAACTTAATAATGACCTAGTGGAAGGAATAATGTCCAGTAATGATGGATATTAAGTTGAATAATGATTACTTGATAATGACCAAAAGTCCTACATTGAGAAATAAAAATATGATCTTATATTGAGAAATTCATTATGTTTTACATAATGAGACAGGACATTTAGCATTCAACCGACATAGTAATAATAATATTACGGAATACTAATAAAATCATTACTCTGTATTATTTATTTATTTGTTATTATATTTTGTATATAAGTGTATAACGTACTCCCTCCGTTCTACAAAACTCTTGCCCTTTCGATTTTTTTAGTTTCCACAAAACACTTCAACTTTCTATTAAGCGTGCTCATCACCTAGAAACTCCAAGGTGAAGCGTGCTTGACCTGGAGAAATTTTAGGATGGGTGACCCTCCTGGGAAATTCCTTGGGCGCGCACGAGTGAGACAAAGTGTGCGGGAAAGAGTGTGTTGGTTTGTGGGGCTAGTCTACAATCCTATGAGCGGACACTGACGCCAGGGTGGGGGCTGGGGTGTTAAAAATGGTATTAGAGCAAAAAAATGTTGATTTGGTTGCAAGGTATTTCAGCAGCAGCATCCGCATCTCTCGCAACTCTTCTGCCCTAGGAGGTAAATCTAAACTTTTATTATGTGCTTATGTGAAAATTGTTGTGTTGATTGTTAGTTGATTTGTTTGCTAATTAACCTTTGTTTTATAAAAAAAATCAATCATGTAAAAAAAAAGAAACACAATAAAGAGACGACTAAGAGAATATAGAAATTAAAAAAAAAGTTTATAAAAAAAAATTGGTCAAGTTTAACCAATCAATCCTGAGCTGAATTCCTAGACTTTTAATTGACAATTGACTTATCACAAAAAAAAGTGACAAATTTTAATTGAATCCTGATATTTAATTTGTTTGACTTTGTTGTTAAGTGTGTATGTTAAGCTTTTCAAAATCAAATTAATAAAAATTTGGAGTTTAGTATCATTGTAAAAAAAAAGAAACAAAACATGTTATTTTGAGATTTAGCACCTCTATAGATTTGCTTTAAAAAAAATTATTTTGGTATTTGACTTAAATTATTTAATCTCGATTTGAAAAAGAAATATGTTTGATTGTCATTTTACCTACTTAGAGGAAAACAACGTAGTGATTTCAAATCAAAACATATGAATCAGAAAAACATTTGACCAAATGTTAAAGTGATCTCTTTTACAAAGATTAGGTACATATATTGTTGGAAAAAAATAAATTAAAATGCATTTAGTAATTTCACTCTTTACCTTAGAAGAATTTTGGGGACGAAATGCTTTTAAGGGGGAGAGAAATGTAATGCCCAAAAACTGGCTTAGTAGTTAGCCGTTATTTTAATAAAAATAAATGTAATATTTATTTACTCTAAAATATGAATTATTTGTAAAGTTGTCCGTTTTAAATAAAAATTAGGTTTTCAGGTAGGTCTCATAAAATGGTGACCAACGGTATATAGTTTGTTAAATTTGGACTTACGAGTAGATCGTGGTGAGTAAAATAGAAGTTACAGTTCAATAAATAAATACTCCGTATAAATATTTATAATTATAAAAAAAAGTAGTATAAACTATTATTCCTAAACCTACCGGCAACCCAAATCCCAAACTCATTCCAAATTAGAAAAGCGGGTCAGAGCATTTTCCGGCTAAATCCGGCGAAATTGATGGTGGGCACCAACTCCAATGCGGTCGTGGCATCCGGGCGACCTCCAAGGACCCCTCAATTGCAAGATTTGATGAAGATTTGCAAAACCCCCAATTTTGGACCCAATTTTGAATTTTAGGGTTTTTTCGAGTAGAAAAATTCAGATTCGAAAAGTTACAGGCCAAATTAGACAAAATGGTTTGGATATTATTGATCCTCGTCTCAAGACGAAGAGAATGACATTGGTCCCGCGGGAATAGGAAAAACTTCATTTTCCGGCGACTTTGACCGGCGGATGGCGGCGGCGGGGCGTGGAAGAAAAGAAAAGAAGAAATGGGGTCAAATTGAAAATTTTAAAATATATAAAATTCGAATTTGGCCCTAATGACCGGAAGTTAACCTAGAAACGGGCTAATGGCTCATTAGTGAAAGGATTGTGTAAGTTCAGGGATTTTTGTGAAAGGATTTGAAGTTTAGGTACCACTTCGAAATTTCAGCTAAAGTTCAGGTACCATTTGTGAAATTTACCGCATGCACGCCACACAAAAAGGAAGAAAAAGAAAAGAAAAGAACAGACCCTAAGCCGGAGGGAGAAAAGAGAAGGGAGCAGAGCTGCTGCCGGATCGCCGGGAACAAGGTTGTCGCCGCCGCCACTCCAGCGTTGCTGCTTCGCCGTCACCGGGAAGCTGACCGACGTCGCTGCTTCGCCGTCGCTGCTTCAAAAATTAATATTCATTAATATGTTATTCCGTAATCGAAGATGAATTTGGGAGTATGGTAGTTGTCTCTGGTGATTTAATCAAATTGGAATTGGGGATTAAATTTGGAAGATTTGGGCTATGTGGTTTTCTTTTCTTTGTTTTGCTCTGTTCTGTCCGCACGCACACACACTCCCTGTTCAAACAAATTTTTAATCTGACTAGTAAGTTTATCAAGGATTAAGAAACGTGTCCAAATAGCACTGTATAAAATATACTCCGTATTATTGTTAGTTGTGTGCTGCATGACGGTAAGTGAAAGGTGTTTACACCCGATACTATGCCGCTATTTGATGATTATGGATGTTATTTAACGTATTGTATTCTTGTATGAATTTGGAAATACGGAATTATGAATTTGAATACGGATAGGCTACCTAGCTGAATTATAGGTAGATCGAGGAAACAGAATAAGGAATACAGTTAGGAATAACTGGTCATGTGATGAGCCAGCGTGCACACATGATCAGTTGGGTAGAGCGTGCACACGAGGATCGTAGATCTACTGATGGATGTGAGTAGGTGGTCCCACCCAGACGATGTTGGATGACGTCGTATCGAGCGGGTTCTTCCATGGATGTGGTTGAATCAGGACTCTAGAATAAAGTAGTTGGCCTTAGCCTAGGATAGGTTATGAGCCTAGGGATAAGGAAGTGGATTAGGAAATAAGTTTGTTGATTGTGGTAATTATGCTTAATTGATGAATTATATGATATTATTGATGTTGTACTTATGTGCATGATATTGTATGGAATTATGAGCTAGTGGGTTCGTCTATGTGCGTAGTCGAACTGTAACACCCGCCTTCCGTGGACCCGGTTCACCCGCGACCCAACGGACCGTTAGGGTTACATGGACAGTCCGAGAACCATCCGTTACGAAAACATCACTGACTATTTAATAAGAAAACAGTTGGGTTTTATTTAGAGGAATAAATGCCAGGGAACTACTCCCAAAACGTGTGTAATGAAAGTGCAGATTACTTGCGGAAGTAATGAGATAAGTTCAGTCCAAACTAAATAACAACAAGGGTGGGTTCATGCCCAATTGATTAATGAAATCATTGAAAGTAATTAAGAGTTCGTCCGTGCGCCGCCCGTCTCCCCATCGTCACCGCTCCCCAGGGTTAACACCTGCTCCGTCATGTCTACCTGCGTGTAGCAAAAACAACTACACGCTCAGCAAAAGCTGAGGAGTGAATCTAACAAAAGAACATGAAGTGATAACCCATGTGGCTATACCCATATCAATACCTGTACTTAACGTACGGGATACCTCACGTTACTAACTGTTTAGTTTTCACCTGTTAAAGCTGTTTCGAATAACAAGGAACATAATGATGGTGACATGACTTGGTGCATGACTTAAACTATCAGGGACACCCCTGGCTTAGTCTCACTCGACAGGATCACCCCTGCACTCCGGTCATCGTTCCCGAACGGTAACGAGCCGGGCACGACGAAAACATCGCGAGTGGGCTAGCGGAACTAGGTAGTAGCCGTAACCTGACTACTATGTACGTACACAAGCCCAACATGATGAAAACCCGTTGGTCCCCAAAGGTTCCTGGACGGGCCCACTGTAGTAGGCGCATGAAGTCCTCCCTACAGCGGTATGCACATGATGAAAACCTAGAACATCCGTCTAGAACGAACATGTTGGAATGAATGCATTGATTAAAGAATATTCAATTCTTACAGATGTGCTTGATTATGATTTGTTCAACAAGATGGCCTTGGGTTCAGAACTGGCTGATAATCGATTATCTGCTGTTGATAATCGATTATCATGTTGTGCAGCTTCTGTCCCCAAAGTCCTACAGACTGTGATAGTCGATTGTCACCCTATGACAATCGATTGTCAAGTTGGTTTATCAGGAAAGTCCTAAGTTCAGAGGGACCTGATAATCGACTATCGCTCTGAGATAATCGATTGTCAAGTGAACCAGCTCTGACTCAAGAATCCGCAGGGTCTGATAATCGATTACCACTTATGTGATAATCGATTGTCACACTATGCTGGATCAACTGAGGAGTTCAGCGTGACCTGATAGTTGATTATTCCGTTCTGTAAATCGATTACCAAGGCACGCTGATTCCCATTTTGACTGTTTGGTTATCATCAGTACGTTGGAAGTTTTCTTTGAACGAACATTTATGATTACATGTTAAGTATTCCATGAATATATATGGAGTTTCAAAATGCTTGTATTAACGAGTTCGTGATAACACGGACTCTCGTATATTTGATGGTTAACCTACGAACATGCATAGATTCTATGTAGGTTGCGTACGATATTCCTATGAATATAGCGACATAGATTATAACTAAATGTTCTAGAATTAGAGGGACAACTACTCACCTCTAAATGAAGGGATTGATAGAACGAGATGAACGAATGGTGCTAACGAACGGGCAAACGACGACCACGCTTCGCACGACGGCCTAACTCTTCTTCTCCTTCAACCTTGCACCCACCGGAGCTTCACCGGAGGTCTTCCTTGTCTGCTGGATTGGCCGAACACAGGGAAGAGGAAGGTGGATGGTGGTGATGATTATGGGGGTTACACAAAATGTTGAAGAGGAAAATGAATGGAAAGGGGAGTGTCACTGTAACGCCCTGTAACCCGGTCTAATAGAATTGATTAATTTAATTAATTAAATAATGTTTCGGACCGGGGTTGGGAAATGAAAAGTTCTTAGGAAAATTATTTGATCATATCTTTAAATGCGTTTTGACTGTCTGATTCCAGAAACGCAAACGGAGTTCAATTCGGACCCGCTTGGGGGGAAAAGCGCGTACCGTTCAGGTCAGATTTTTACATAACGGAGTGAAAATATATTTGTAACCCCCATGCATTTGGTTCGGCCCTCTCAACCCCCCATCTTTCCCATTTAATTGTCTTTTAATCACCATAAAACCCCATCACTCTCCACCCTTAAAACTCCTATTGTTGTAACCCCCATTTTGTGAATTCAATCATCAACTCCATCATCACCATTCATCTTCTCTCCCTTTCTCATTTTCGGCCAAGGCAAACAGCAGCTCAGGAATCTCCGGTGAAGCTCCGGTGGGTGCAAGGTTGAGGGAGAAGAAGAGCTAGGCCGTCGTGCGAAGCGTGGTCGTCGTTGTCCGTTCGTTAGCACCATTCGTTCATCTCGTTCCATCAATCCCTCCATTTAGAGGTGAGTAGTTGTCCCTCTAATTCTAGAACATTTAGTTATAATCTATGTCTTTATATTCATAGGAATATCGTACGCAACCTACGTAGAATTTATGCATGTTCGTAGGTTAACAATCAAACATACGAGAGTCCGTGTTATCAAGTTACGAACTCGTTAATACAAGCATTTTGAAACTCCGTATATTCACGGAGTACTTAACATAAACGTTCGTTTCAAAGAAAACTCCCAACGTATTGATGATAACCAAATAGTCAAAATGGGAACCTGCGTGCCTTGATAATCGATTTACAGAACGGAGTAATCGACTATCAGGTCACGCTGAACTCCTCAGTTGATCGAGCATAGTGTGACAATCGATTATCACAGAAGTGGTAATCGATTATCAGACCCTGCGGATTCTTGAGTCAGAGCTGGTTCACTTGACAATCGATTATCTCAGAGCAATAGTCGATTATCAGGTCTCCCTGAACTTAGGACTTTCCTGATAAACCAACCTGACAATCGATTGTCATAGGGTGACAATCGATTATCACAGTCTGCAGGACTTTGGGGACAGAAGCTGCACAGCATGATAATCGATTATCAACAGCAGATAATCGACTATCAGCCAGTTCTGAACCCAGGGCCATCATGTTGAACAAATCATAATCAAGCACCTATGTAAGAATTGAATTTAACTATTTTTTTCTTTAATCAATGCAATCATTCCATCATGTTCGTTTCTAGACGGATGTTCTAGGTTTCCATCATATGCATACCGCTGTAGGGAGGACTTCAAGCGCCTACTACAGTGGGCCCGTCCAGGAACCCTTGGGGACCAGCGGGTTTTCATCATGTTGGGCTTGTGTACGTACATAGTAGTCAGGTTACGGCTACTACCCGGTTTCCGCTAGTCCACTCGCGATGTTTTCGTCGTGCCCGGCTCGTTACCGTTCAGGAACGATGACCGGAGTGCAGGGGTGATCGTGTCGAGTGAGACTAAGCCAGGGGTGTCCCTGATAGTTTAAGTCATGCACCACGTCATATCATCATCATTATGTTTCTTGTTATTCGAAACAGCTCTAACAGGTGAAAACTAAACAGTTAGTAACGTGTGGTGTCCCGTACGTTAAGTACAGGTATCGATATGGGTATAGCCACATGGGTTATTACTTCATGTTCTTTTGTTAGATTCACTCCTCAGCTTATGCTGAGCGTGTAGTTGTTTTTGCTACACGCAGGTAGACATGACGGAGCAGGTGCCAACCCTGGAGAGCGGTGACGATGGGGAGACGGGCGGCGCACGGACGAACTCTTAATTACTTTCAATAACTTTATTAATCAATTGGGCATGAACCCACCCTTGTTGTTATTTAGTTTGGTCTGAACTTATACTTCCGCTAGTACTCTGCACTTTCATTACACACGTTTTGGGAGTAACTCCCTGGCATTTATTCCTCTAAATAAAACCCAACCGTCTTCTTATTAAATAATCATTGATGTTTTCGTAACGGATGGTTCTCGGGCTGTCCATGTAACCCTACTGGTCTGTTGGGTCGCGGGTGAACCGGGTCCACGGAAGGCGGGTGTTACAGTCACTTATAATGATGATCATTATGGTGGGTTAAAGAAAAATAATGAGAGAATTGAATTTGTGAAATAAAAGGGGATGGGCTGGCCGTGTGAATGATAAGGGGGGTTACAATTATTCATTAACTCCGTTATGTAAAATCTGACCTGAACGGTACGCGTTTCCCCCCCAAACAGGTCCGAATTGAAATCCGTTTACGTTTCTGGAATAAGACAGTCAAGACGAATTTAATGATATGATCAAATAATTTTTCTAAGAACTTTTCATTTTCCCAACCCCGGTCCGGAACAGTAATTAATTAATTAAATTAATCAATTCTATTAGACCGGGTTGCAGGGCATTACAGAACGTTAGACAGATTCCACTCAGCTTCAATGCTGAGCGTGTAGCTCTTTTTCCTGTTTTCTATACATAGGTAACATGAATGGTGAATAAGGGACTATCCTGGAGGGCAGAGAGGTGGATAGATGCTGGCTGGAGGAGTTATCTGGTTTAATATTTAAGTTTGAATTTATTATGTTTTAAGGGCAAGAACCCAAAGTTGTATTTTGGTTAAGTACTTAAAGGCTTCCGCACTGTTTTGTTTTACTCCGATGGATGTTTAAATATTGTTTTGAATTAAATGTTTTAAATTGATTTTGAAAAATTATTGCGTTTGAATGCCAATTTAGTAGCACCCCGGTTCGCTAATCCATTTATTCGGGTTATGCGGGTTGGGGTGTTACATTTTGGTATCAGAGCAACCCTGCGACCGTGACGGGCTCGAAGAGCTTAGTTCACCTAGCGGGGAAGATCTAAGGGTTAAAAAAGGATGCAACAAGGACGTTGCATTCCTAAGTGGGGGTGAATGTAATACCTCGTATCAAGATGGGAATGGGGAGAGCTCAAAAGGATTGATAGTACTACTCATACCAACAAGGTGCATCTTCTTTTCGAGAGCTCATCACCTAGAAACTCCAAGGTTAAGCGTGCTTGACGCCGGGCTTAGGACCTTTAAAGTTTGACTTCTTTCCAAATGTCTTCTATCCCTTACTCGTAACAAATAGTCTTGATGCCTGATTTTCTGTTCCTAAATTAGTTGCCTGTTGACGATCTTGTCTCATGTGGAGAGCAGATCAAACATCTTCTAGATACAAAGTTTCTTTACCAGGCATAAAAGATTCAACAAAATTTTCATACGACTCGGGCAAAGAAACTAACAGAATTAGAGCAGCATCCTCATCATCTACTTTAACATCAATGTTTCGAAGATCTAGCAAAATTTTAATCAATTTTTCCAGATGATCCCAAAGGGTTGTGCCTTCCTGCATGCGTAGTTGAAACAGACGTTGCTTCAAGAGCAACTTATTGGATAGAGACTTCGTCATGTATAAAATCTCTAAATTCATCCAGAGGGCAGCAGCGGTCTCCTGATCAGCGACTTCGATGATGACATCGTCAGATAAGCACAACATGAGTGTTGAGTGGGCCTTTTTATCTAGGTTTTTCCACTCTTCATCCTTCTGCCTTGATGGGTAATAACCCATGGATACCGCCCGGTTGGTTCACTCAACTGGGTGGTGATGAAAGTGACAGCGCGCACCCTTCTCAACCCGGTTTGTTTTCCCGGTTGGATGGGTAGGCTGAGTGCCAATAACTGAAGATCTATTTTTAGAGTACGGCTGGTTGACCGGTCAGCCTACTGACCGGTTGGTAAACCAGAGACGTGCTTGACATGCTTAGGATTATTATAAATACCCCTAAAAACCTCATTTGTGAGGTATGCTTTAATTAATCCACACGGCTTGTACTTTGTAATAGCTCCTGTTATCAATAATAACAAACCGGGTTACAGGTGTTTCCACCTACCACCCTTCCGATTACTCATACTTAGCATTTGCGTGGTAATTTACACTATCATGCCTTATTCACCTCTCTAGTGAGCGGTGTCCACAATCTCTGTTGCTTCAGCAACGATCGCATCTTGATCTGCCATAAGCCAAAACTATTTCTCCCGTTGAATTTGTCGATCATCACATTCAGAGCAGACGACGTCTTCCTCACCCAAAATAGAATAATTTCGGTCAAATCACACTAAAGTCCGAGTCAAACTCTAAATGGCAACTCAATTAAAAAACAGTTCAGCCGAAAAGATCCACCAACAAAAAAAATCACGGCCCACTAAAAAAAAGTTACTCCCTGCCGTCCTTTACTATTCTTCTTAGGCCCAGCCCGGTTTTTTTTCTTCTTTCGGTCAGAGCCTCCTTTTTCAAGTTTTTTTCTCCTTTGGCCGCTGTATTAGTTCGGCGCTCAGCGGCAACGACCTTCGAGTTTCTGTCCGGCAGCAAACAGCACGGCGACGGCTCTGCGACCGGGGGGCCCAATCAGCTGAAGACGGCGCGCGGCAGCTCTGCGGCTGGGTGCACCTCAGATGCTTCCTGCCGGCTGGACTGTGCACGAGTTACATGGCTGCAGCAGCGGATCCTCACCCCGGCGGCGGCTCAACGAGGGGAGACTGCGGCAGTTCTCAGACAACGGCGAACAAAAAAACTCTCTCCTTCTCGAACCAGCGGCGGCTCTGATTGCACAGCTAGATATCTGCTCCCGGTCCTTGTAGCTCCTTCAGATATGACTGCGGAAATCACAGCGTCTGTGCACAGATCCGCAAAACCCTGGTGACAACTGGCAATTTGTGTTCTTGTTGTTCAACTAGGCTCCGATACCCGTTAGTTTGTTATGATAGACGCAAGATTACATGTTACTAAACTCCACGGACAGAGGAGAAAACTTTTATTGATTAGTACTTTCTTACCAGATTACAATTTTGTTTGTTTACGCAATTTCATGAAGTATTTGATAAAATAAAATATTATTGTCACCTCTTTGTAGAACTTTTGACGTAGTTTTTTAATATGTAATTTTTATCTTTTTTTTTTTTGAACGAAATGCAAATATTATTAAACACCAAATCACCATTACATAGGGTCACCATTATGTATCACCTTGATAATACAGGTATTCACCCCCTAATTCTCATGCTACAAGACAACACAGAATAAAATCAAGTATGGTTTCTATCTTTGGCAGATAGATAGACGCCTGCAGTGTATTTGATTTTGCGGATTGTTTCTTCCACAGATAAGAAACTATTCCTATGCATATAATGGTTTTTAGCTCTCCAAATAAAATATGTGCTTGCAGCAAAGACAGCTCCCACTCTCAATCTGTATTTGGTTGGTTGATTAGCTTTCAATCTGCTTAGTACTTCTCCAATAGTCTCCCCTTCAATCCTAAAATTGATCCATTCGCTAATTCCCCGATACACTGATTTTGCATATGGGCATCTACAAAATAGATGCTGACAGTCTTCTTCTTCAGATTTGCACATCAGACATAAGTTGTCAATTGGGAAAAACCTGTTGAGTCTAGATTTTGTCTGCAGCCTCTATTTACAAATTAACCAGAGTATAATTTTATGCTTAGGGATAGCTAATTTGTTCCACACAAGTTGAGTCCAATCAGGAGTTTGTTTCTGACCCATTAGCCATCGGTATCCAAGTTTGGGGGTATATACAGTGTGTTTATCCATATCAGCAAATTCTTCTCTAATCTTGATAAGTTTCTTCCAATAGTAGCAAGAATCCGCTTTTGGTGGGCAGCCCCATATATTATGATCCTTCATATATCTAGTATGTACCCATTTGATCCACAGTATGTCCTTCTTCATTGCAATGTCCCATATTAATTTCATAATACATGCTTTGTTCCACATTGTTAAGTTCTTTAAGCCCAGCCCTCCATTTCTCTTAGGTGTGCATACATCCTCCCAAGAAAATTTCTGCATAGGGATTAGATCATCTTCATTACCTTTGTAGGTATCAGGAACATTTTACTCCAAAAAGTGATAATTCCATATAGCACTGAGTTGATCAGGTTGATTTTCCCAGCATAAGAGAGATGATTTGTAGTCCAGGAAGTGATTTTGACAGCCATGCTTTCCACTAGCCTCTCACATTCTCTGTTGCTGATTCTGGAAGAAGTAATGGGGCCACCTAAGTATCTGAAAGGGAAACTCCCCCTCTCCATATTAGTATCTTGTAAAATTTTCTCCTCCATCATGCTACTGGTCCCTCCAAATATAATTTCTGATTTGGCCTTGTTCACAGAGAGACATGTGGTGCTTTTGAAATGTTCCAATGCATGCAATATACAGGAGATTGATTTTTCCTCAGCTTTACAAGCCACAATTAGATCATCAGCAAACACAATATTGATGAGTTCAAGGGATTTACACATTGGGTGATAAGAGAAACCCTCCCTCTTAGCATAGAATTGGAAGGCCATGGTGAGGTATTCCATAATTAACACAAATAGAAACGGGGATACTGGATCCCCTTGCCTTAAGCCCTTTCTCCCTTTGAAGAACCCATAGCTTTCTCCTTCAAATTGTATGGAGTATGAAGTGGTTGTGATGCAAAACTTAATCCAATTGGTGAATTTGGATGGGAATTTTAGTAGGACCAGGAGTTGTTCAATAGCCTTCCAGCTAACGTTGTCATAAGCTTTTTGTACATCTAGCTTCATCAAGCATCTAGGAGAAATGCCCTTCCTCTTGTACCCCCTTGCTAATTCCTGACAGAGTAAAACATTGTGAACAAATTCCCTGCCCTCATTCGGGCCGGTAGGATTCTCCTTTTTGGGATAATCGTAATGTTGGTTGTGTTGATTTGTTTTATAGTGTCATCGTTGTGAAAGAAATTCAGGATTGCTTCAGTTACTAATGGTCCCACCTTTGGCCAACACTTCTTGAAAAAACCACTACTATATCCATCCCGGCCTGGGCTTTTTTGATTTGGGATATGAAAAAGACATTCCTTAATCTCATTAGTGGTGACCGGAGATATTAAAGAGAGCTGTTGATTAATAGAAATACTCTTACCCATAGCAACTACCTCTTTGTTGATATCCCCAGACTCTACTCTAGTTCCCAGCTGTCTGTGGAAGAAATCAACTAGTACTTTAGCCATTTCCCCCTTACCCTCCTTCCTTTCACCCGCAGTGTTGCATAGTGAAGTAATGTGATTTTGTAGTCTTCTTTTTCTGATCCAAGCATGGAATAACTTTGTGTTTTGGTCACCATAGGCAATCCATTCTGCTTTGGATTGTTGGCTTTTCAGCAAGAAATTTGCTTTGATCTTCAGATGCAGCTCCTTTTTAATTTCCTTTCTAAATCAAGCAGCTGTTCATTATTAAGCTGATTTTTCATCTCCTCTTGAATATTGAGAAGCCTAACCCTGGATTCTTCCACTTGTTTTTCCAGATGTTGAAACTTCCTTTTATTCAGTTCTTTCAAGGGCCCCTTAAGCTGTTTGAGTTTTTTTGCAGACTTGGTGCATTGGATAACCCTTGTGCTCTTGATCCCAAATATCAGACACCAAATCAGGGAAGAGAGGATCAAGTGTCCACATATCACAGAATTTAAAACTATATCCTGATCTAGCTTGATCTATCTCTTGTAGATACATGGAGGAGTGATCAGATACACCACATTCTTTGAAGATGACTTTGAAATTGAAGGTATTTATCCATTCCAAATTACCAAGCACTCTATCTAATTTAGAGTATATAAAAGTCCGTGGGAGCGCAGCGGAAATCACCAATTAAGAGCTCTGCAAACAAATCAACCAGCTATGCTGCAGATAACATTCTGCAGCACTATCACAAGCACACACAGAAGCAGATAACGCAGAGGGTGTTACAGCGCTTTCTGGGCAGAAAGCTGTAACTGTAAAAAGCGTAAAAAATAACACCAGATATGTTTACGCAGTTCAGAGAAACTCTCTTAATCTGCGGGGCCCACGTCCGTGTAATAGCCCTCCACTAAATCACTATATGCAAGCTACACCGGTACATAACAACATGATGAGACACTCTTCTCTGAATTGCTATGACAAAACTTCTAATCTAGGATTTCTAACCCGAACTCTGTTCAGATCCGCTTCGGCTATCACATCTCCACCGAGATCACAAGGACAAATGTGTTGGCAGCCCACTCGTTCAGCTCTTGTTCATCTTCTGGATGCCACGATCTGTTTGGCGTTGTAGGACTCCTCCTTCGTGTAGATCGTGACCTTCTCCACGCATGGGAAGCTCCGGGACGCGATGGAAATGCTCTACATCAGCGTATATTCTGTATTTTCCCTCTCAATCGCTCCAAGTAATTCCCAGGAACCTGCTGCGTATTTATAGGCTTCTCTTAACACAATCCTAGTACGAATAGGATAGTAGAAGTTGGCTTGAACTCTACTTCCTTAATCTTGATCCACAAGTAGCCTAAAGAGTTGGGATTCCTTAGCATGTACAGCTGGAGATATTATCATGTAATCACAATCCCAATAGGTCTCTAATTCAGATTGCAGCTTAAAATCCCGTGCTCAGACCTCTGATCCCGAACAGTGTGTTGCAGCATCTTCTGCGTCAACCTCGAAAACTGCAGCAGTTCTAGAAGTCTAAATAAAATAAACCTCTCCTAACAAATAGAAGTTTTTACCTAGTAAAACATCTATCACATATGAGATTCTATTTTGCCAATAGATTAGCCAACACTATGGAACCAACAATATATTCTCTTCCTAAGGTTCTCATTATTAGTCCAAGTCATTTTTGGGCCTTCAAATGGGAGATCTTCCAACCCACAATTGGTAAGGCAATCTTGGAATTCTTTGATCTCTTCCAAGCTCACTGGGTTTCCTCCAATCCTTTCATCCATGTGTAGAACTGTGTTAAAGTCACCCATGACACACCAGGCTCTAGGATCATTAAGGCTCTGTGGGGTATTCCAAAGTTCCTTCCTTTTATTCGGCTCATTATGCGCATAAATAAAAAGTCAGGAAAAATTCCTTATTTGTCCCTAGTACTCTACCTTGGCAGTGCATAGATTGTTCAGTGATGTCCAGGATCTTCATTTCAACTTTATTATGGTCCCACAGAACCCATATTCTACCAAGGGGGTGAGCATTATTATTTATTACTGATTTCCATCCTTGAGCTAGTTTGCCTTCTCTTACTTTAGTTAGAATCTTTTACTTTAGTTTCCAAGATACCAACAACAAGTTTGTGTTTATTGATAAACCTCATTACCTCAAACTGTTAATAACTTATTGATGTACCAATTTATAAATAAAATGATTTCAAAAAGTATAAAATGTTACTCCGTAACCCGCAATTTGTAATCAAATTGGGGACGATGGAGTATATAGGGAAGGAGATATGAGTAATCCTAATCCTACTACATATATAATAAAGATGAGAATATAAAGATAATCCTAATCCTATTCCTTGTCGTAATCTTAATACATTTAGAATACATATTCAAGATATTTTCTAACAGTAGGTACTGAGGCCCACGGCCCACCTGCCCCGAAACAGTACTCCGCTTTTCCGAACAATTTCTTCTCAATTACTCGTACTATTTTTATGTTCAAATTTTAATTGCTTTCTAACTATTTTTCTTAGTCCTATATTAGAATAATATAATAATGTCATTTCTTTGTAGAGTGTAGATGTAATCTTTCAATATTATTTTTAAATTTTGTATGCATTTATAATCAAATAAATTAAATTAAAAATATTTTCAATTAAAATTTTATACTAAAATGGAAAATTATTTTAAAATGAAGAAATCAACAAATTCTACCTATGGCCTAAATTGAATTAACTGGGTAGAGTTGATTGTGGGGCATAAGATTCAACTTGGTGGGAGTAATAAAACACTACCTCCGTCATCCCAGTGTATTTGTCTAGTTTGATTATTTTGAGTTAAACTGGATAAACTTTGAACTCCAATTACTCTCAATTTATATTGCATATTAGCATAATGA